AAGGTTTTGTGTGTTTAAAGGTACCTGATGCCATGACGTGACATTGGTTAGGTTTTAAGTGCGTTTAGGTAGGCAACCCGCACGGCTTAAAACCATTTTTTTGCAATTTTACAGCTATTTCTGTTAAATGTTCGCACCATTTAAGCCATTTTTAAACTTCAAAATTAATATCCGACTTAGTACACATTTATAAGTACGTGATCTTTAGAACACATAAGTACTCTAAAAGCGGGAGTGTGATTCACACAAAAACATATTATTTTTCACCAATTTGGCACTGACAGCAATGTGCGTGGCAGTTTTGGCATTCGCAAAACCATCCGCACTTTGTGCTAGACGCCCCCATTTGCCATCAGAACTCGAGTCCGGTGACGCAACTACCACTAAAGCCTTGGATGTGTTGTAATTTAGAAACGGGTTTTTGTGACGTGCGTGTTGCCTACCTTCCCCGAATGAAGGAGTTAAAAAGTGTCACATGGCCGACCAAAAGTCATAAGCCACCGTACATAACAAATACGGTCAGCCTTATAATGGAAAAGTAAGTCCTCGTCAGTTTACACTTATAAAATCTCGAGAAGGGGTCAAAATGACCCCCTCGGTCCTTCTAGGTATAAGTAGTAATATCTTCAAAAGTTCTTGTCGCAGAGACCTCCTATTTTGCGTCCAAGCGTCTTTCGGTAGTACATGAAAAGTCGGAAAGTGATGAATCGCTCAAAAAAATAATTCGTTGTTCCTTTGGCAATTAAAAATCTAAAGGGGTCATTTTGACCCCTCCGGTCCTTCTAGTGTTAAGCCCAAAAGAGGGTGTGGTGCGACCCGCAATGTGCGGTTCAAGTATTACTCCTTTTGCAATTCTGTGACATGAAGCCTCTTTTACGATTTAATAGACCATTTTGTCTTTTTCACGTTATTTTCGCCAAAAGATGCCCAATAGCGCCGAAACGGTACTAGATAGAGCAAAACGGACGAAATTTTCACCCTAAGCACTCTACTTTAACGAGTTACCCCTTGGGAGCCCATAAAAAAATATTTGAAAAAAAGAAATATTTTGCAGCGTGCGGTTTTTGATTTTTTTAAAGGTCAATTTTTGAGCTAGAATGCTCATCTTCGAACTCGATCCGTCTTTTTATGATACAAAACGACCCTGAAATTCCCAGATCGCTCTCTCAATTCTT